AGCGGAATGCCTCCCTTCAACGGCAAGTCACACGCTGACGTGATATGGATGCTTGTCTCTAATCATCTCTAAGCCTAAGCAGAAGATGGCTTGTCCACATCAGCGAGGGTCGCGAGAGCATGGAACAAAGAGATGATCACATGGTCAATGCAAGACTTGCCCCAATCGAACCGTGCATAAGCCAGATGTGCCGAGGAACATTGCAAACTTCAAGTTCTGCGACGACCCCCTGGCTGATTCCTTTGTTGGGCCGCGATGGGAAAATGTCTCACCGCAGTGCAAGGCCGTGAGAGTTGTGTTCGCTACTGTCTGGTTGCTTCCGGGGTTCCAAGCTTTCCTGTGCGATTTGCTAGGACTTGATTCGAAGATGTATGGAGCGCGATCCTCAGAAGAGGCGCTTGGCACACTCCTTCAGAGTCCTTTCTGTTGTGTGGTTATATGAGTTATATGCAGAGAACTCCACAGAAAGCTAACTACTTCAAGTTACTTCAAGGGACCGGGTTTGAGACTCTGCGGAGGCTTACGGCGGCTGGTGTCCAGGTCCACCCTTGGCTTTGCCAAGTGGGGCCGAAGGGTCCCGTGGCACCGGTGGCCCTGGCACCGATCCTCAAGGTGCAGCCTCGATGCAGTTGTTGAGCTTCGGGATCCGAAGGCAACAAGGTGCTTGGAACTCCCTCCAGTCACTGTGACAGGATCTCTGCTTTGCTGGAAACCGAATGGCGAACTGCGAGGTCTTGGCGCACATCTGCTGTGACGTGGCTGGCGATGTCGCGATTGAGTTTCAAGCACCCACGAAGTACTGTCGGAAAGCTGCTTTTCACGATCTTAGCCTTAGTGCTGCCTTAGCACATCCCATTGAAAGGCAGCCTTGCATCCACCATTTATCTCTCTCCGGAGACATGGACGGAGTACAAGGACGGTGAGCTGCGTACTGATGAGATTATAGGTCAATAGAGGTTACGGCGGCCCTAACCCGCCCTGCATTTGGGCTATTTTTGGGGAGGGTCTTACATTCCTGCCGACCTTAACCCTGCACCCAAACCCTGAAATTCAGAACCTTTGGTATGTTGTACAAAGGGCAAAAACGATCCAAATGCCAGTCTTTTGGGCGTGGTCGAATGGGCATTGCTTCCCCCCCCCCCCCCCACCCCGCACGAAAAAGACAGGGAAACGAAGAATGAAGAAAGAAGAAACATAGAAAGACAGAATAGGGCCTGACAAAGTTTCGTTGGGGTCTGCGCCGAAATGCTGCTGCTGCTTGGCATGCTAGTCTTCTGAAACTATAGACTGTGTCAGGGATTCGTGGCCTGCTACCTGATGCGTCCTGCTATAAAAAGTACGTTTTCCCAGTGTTTTTTCTCTCAAAATGCATAAAAAGCTGCGTACAAAAACGCAAGGCGTACTACAGGCGCCAGGTGCCGTCTGCCATCGCCAAGCATGCCATTGACTTTGTTGGGTCCTGAAACGATACACGCGGGACACTGCGCTCGAAGTACGTACAAGTACCGCAGGACCACTTCGCAAAGCTCGAGTGCCTTGAGACACTTGCGCCGAAAGGCTCGCTGCCAGTGAGCAAGCTGGTGTCCGCCTTTGAGGACGTCGGGGGGTTCAGGGTAAGTCTCAGCAACTCATCGAGCCGCACGACGTGAGATTCTCCGTGCTACCTCAGGAAGCAATCGCAAGTAGCGAGCGCGGCGAGCAGCCACCAGAGCTGAAGGATGTGATCCATGACCGCATGTTTGCTTGAGGGCCCTTTACTTTCCATCGAGGTGCAAGGGACACACTTTCGGAATGGTTCTTCGTAGATTTCGAAAGCAAGGAACTCGTTCCGAGCCATTGCCTCTCTTGACATTACGCGCGATGGTCGGCTGCACTTCTTCGAGTTCTTGGCTGCCATGATTGCAGCGGGACGCATTAAGTTCCTTGCCTCATATAAGCCCATCTCAGCCTTGTCATCACGGACTCCCGAAGTTTGAAGACCTGGCTGAGCCTCTATCTTGAATCCAGGATTGATGAGCATGACATTGCTGACGTGTTTGTGGCTTTCGATGTGGACCGTGACAATGTGATCTCTGAGAGCGACATGGCCAGCTTTATCCACAACAAGGCTGTGGTCGCGGGCTCAGGCCAAAAGCAACTTGCGCCACGCGATCCACTTTGCATGCCAGCTGATAGGATGTAGCCTGTTGAAAATTCCGCGTGTCTCTGCGGTTGATTGCTTGATCCATTGAGGTACCAAGCAACTCTACGCACACGGAGAAGCTCCAGTTACCTATCCAGGACCGGGCTCTCCTCCTGGAGGCTCTGAACAGGCGGGAGTTGGAGTCGTAAAGGTGGGGGACAGTGGGGGAGGGGGGGGCAGACCAATGTGGAGCGACAAAAGAGCGATAGAAGCCTAGAAACGGCGGCATACCTCTTGAAAGGTAGACTTCACATCCCTAGAAGCTGCAGCCAGGAAAGCTTCCTGGGCCGGTTCTGACAAGCCACAAGTTGGTGAGCACGTGGCCGGCCTGCCGCCAAGCCCATCGTCACAGGCAAGGTTTAGGGATGAGGGCAAAAAGAGAAAAGCCTTCAGGATCAAGGGCATGCGATGTTTGATGTGTTTGCCTCGCCAGCGGCTTTTCAGGCTACCCCCACTAGCAATGGCATGCAGCGTCTCCTGAGCAAGGCCTGAGCAGAGTGTGTTGCTTCCTCTCGTGCTACCGTTGAACTGCGGCTATTGCGGCCATCTGGAAGCTCCGGAGGCCAAGCTGCACATGGAGTGGAAGGTGCAGCGTCAGGCCAGTTCATGTTTCTTCTTGAACTCAGGGCTGCCATGGCTGCCATGACTCTTGCGAGTCTGGCAGTTGTGGCACGCTGTTTGTTGTCACCCTTGCCATGTTTAGCCGGCACCTTTTTTGTCTGCGAAGGTTGCTTTTGCAGACATGCGCTCGGCTGTGAAGCTGAAAAGCCTGAACCGCGGCTGGCGCACGCCTGACCCATCCCCGACGCGGATCGACAAGGACTCGGGCTCGCATGGTTTGAGGGATCGTGGTCATGTGCTCGATAACTTCAAGTAAACGTGCTGAAGCACTCTCTTACGCATGGGTTCTTGGGGTTCTTGGGAGCGCTGAAGCGACATGCTTCAAATACTTCGCACCCCCGCACAAGCCACCGGAGTCGAGGTCAGGATTTCAGACTTTGAGCTGAAGGTTTCAGATTGAGTCGGGGGTTTCGAGGCTGAGGAGTCTACAGGCTCTGCTAAGATGGGTTTAGGCCTTCCCGGCAGAACCCTCAGTGTCAAAAGAAAAGGGTAGGCGGTAAGGGTGGCATAGGGGCAGAGCGGCAAAAATTCTGGAACAATGCTTAAGTTTTTTCAACACGGAGAGTATCTTCACACTAGCGGGTCTAAGGCTTAGGGTTGTTCGAGGCTTCCTACGGGGAAAGCACAGGTCGCATGTATTGCAAATTGGGGGTTATGAGTTCCGTTTACAAGGATGAGGACCTCGGTAGTACATGTATTGGAGCTGTTAAGCCATGAGGCTTTGGGCTTGCACAGCTATTTTTGGGGCTGTCAGAAACTGCATATCTGGAACACATGTTTTGAGCTTTTTAAGGCTACAGGTTTTGCACTTGCACTAAAAATATTAGAAAAGCAGAAGCTGGCACTGAGCTGGAAGACAGCAAGGTAAGTGCACCAAGGCTGGTTATTGTGTCGGCTTGGTTGCCATTTACCAATCAATTTTGCAAGCATCCCACCTGCTTGGCTTGTCATCATGGGTGTATTTGTTGTGTCCCCTTGCAAAGGAGAGCTCGCCTGACCATGCACCCGGCTTGGTGGCATGGCATACGTATTAATCCAGGGGCTGGCTATTCAAGGGCTGTTGGTGCATTTCGGCCTTTGGAGGGGTCCTCCAAGTAGAAGCATCGCATCGAGCCAGATCAGGCAGTGAGGCAGCGTGGGCTGAGGGGTTGCGGCCTTTCGGGTGCGGGGGTGGTGGGCAGGGGTGGGGGGGTTGAATTGAATCTGTGAATGTTGCTGGGAGACGCGCTCCGCCGGCTGCAGGTTGGACGGAATCGCGGGAAGATGGCCCACAGCATGCTGAACATGACGGAGTTGGACAAGCCCTGATACTCCCGACCAAGTTTTTTTTGAACGAAGCTTTAACAAGACGACGGTATGGAGTACCGCACCGCTTGAGACCCTAAAGCTGGTGGATCTCTCGTGTGCGAAAGCTGCGAAAGTCGAATTCGGAAATCGATGGCTTTGGGGTCTTCAGCCCGCTCATGCAGATGTGGCAGCGCAAAGTGCGCTGCAAATCGCGGTTGTTTTGCCGGTGACCGGCGAGCGCAATGTTGCTCATGAGCTCAAGAAGCAGAGCCTGAAACAGGACCAATGCTGGCACAGGCTAATGTCTCTGATGTGCGACCGACTCACAGCCAGAAACCATAATTGGAATTATGCTTGCCATGCGCCACGATCCAGAGGCGCATCCCTGTTGGCAATCGGCTTGTACCTGCTGGTTTATTGCGCTGCCTTGCGGCACGTGCATTCATGATGGATTTAGATTTAAGAGGTCAGCTTAGGCGGATGGTGCGCGCCTCTTTCCTTGCTGGTGTGTTGGAGCTAGGTGCTTTACTGTTTTTGAAATTGTAACTTTTGTCATATGTTCTGCACTGCTTGACATTTATTGTGTCCGACTAGATCTGTGACTCCCTTAGCTCAGCCATCAGTGGCGCGGTTGCCATCCCAGTTGTCGATTATGCCTGGTTTGCCGAGAACCGGCCTGTACAGTACATACAGTACCCAGCCTCTGCTGGGGCAAAGATGGTCACAGAGTCACCGCAGAGTCTGGCTCCTTTGGTGCTTGCTAGCGGGCGCGCCCAGAGCAAGAACTTGGCAGTCGAAAGAGCTTCAGAGTGCTTCGGAAGAAGGGCTATGCCCAGCTTCGGGGCACAACTTTCTGCTGACATGCTGCGCAGCCCTGTCTGCACTGTCGCATTGTGCTGCAGACTGTCAGGTTCAAGATAAAGGAGAAGACCAGGTACAAACCCTTGGCCGCCAACGTCTACTACGAGGTGGTCTGCCAAAGCCTTCTGGGTTTGGATAGGCGTGAAGTTTGGGGCTGCAGTGCATCTCTAAAGACATTTGTTTTTCAGGGTCGAGGTTCGTTGTTGCGTTGGCTGTTGGGAAGCCTAGGGGTATGACCTCGCAATGGAGCATCATCTCAGTCACGTGTCTTCCCAGTTGAGCTGCGGTTTTTATGGGCGCTTCTTGAGAGACACTTCAGTACGGAAATATATTTTGGGTTTGTGCTCAGAATGAGCTCCGCACTGTTGCTTGGAGATAGAAATGGGTTAAAAGCGCTCCACACTTGCAGCCTGTCAGACTCTCCACGATGCGCGCAGCCCTCAGCTCTCCTTGAAGTGCCCTTGTGCATGGATAGTAGTAGTAAGATAAACACAACACTAATGATAAGTAGTTAAATAGTGATCATGATTCTGATTATGTATTCATAACTTATCTATGGAGCATCTCCGAACATCTCTTGGCAAGTTGTGGCAGTCGCCGTGAGGCACGAAGCCGGTTGGGTACTTTCCACCACCTTCACCAAGTCGAGGGCTGCAGGACTTTGTACTCCACGAAAAATTCTCCACCCCTCATTCCGCCCTGCTCTCTTCATGAGCCTTCCCGTCTGCCGGATTTGTGCGATGCAGGAGGGAAAGCTGGGCAAGGAAAGTGCGGAGAGGCAGCCTCGGCGCTGTCAGCTTGCATTGCTCACTGCGACCCCGACTCCCCAGGGCATCACCAATGATGGCCTCGTGCATGGGCATGTCGACGTCCCAGTTCGGCCGTGGTGTTGCCTGGCATTTGGGAGCCGTCCAAACAACCCATGCTTTTTCAGCATTAGAGTGATGTCGGGTGCGACAGGGAGGACGGCTGTATGGCTTGGCAAGGGATTGGGCTGAGTTGCCTGGGAGCATGGACTTGACCATGAGTCTTGGCGATCTGCGCTATTCAGTTTGTAGCTCTGAAAAGGGAGGGAGGGAGGGAGGGAGACAGAGAGAGAGAGAGAGAGAGAGAGAACGAGTAGCCATTTTGGCTCAAGCCACGAGCGGCTCGAGCCCCGCCCCAGCGTCCAGGGGACAACTCAATCCGGTAGAGGCTGAGAGAGAGAGGGGGAAAGAGAGACAGGGGGGCCTCCGTTCAGACAGAACTGCCCTTCCCTTCGCCCCCGCAGCGATCGTCCACACCTACCTCCACGCGGCTCTACGCTTGCGACCCAACGAGGTTCGGGAGGGGGACATAGTCAAGTACGGTGCTCAGGGTGAACCGCTGCTGGCCGAGCTTCCCCACTACCAGCGGCGTGAGGGGGACACTGTGCACAGCTACCTGCCCGATATCGGCGACCCTACGCGTGACCTACCAGGGGGCAAAGGAGACCTCCGGCGTCTTTCCCGCCAGGGACACCAACAACTCAGTGTACGTGATTTGGCAGGGAGATGGAGAGCAAGATGAACACCCATGGAGGCAGCAGCGGGGACGCCCCCAACAGCCCTTTAGGGGGGGGAAAGCGCAAAATGGACACCCAGGAGGCACTCACCATCGACACCATCAGGGCCGCAATACAAGAAGAACTTCGCCTTGAGAGAAGGGAGCTGAAACGAGAACTGCTCGCAGAGGTGCGGGAAGTGCGTGAAGAAGTTCGGGGGCACATGGGGGACACCAACCGCATCCTCAAGGACCTCCAGGCACTCCAAGCAACGCAGGGGGACGACCTCCGCAAGCTCAGCCACACACAACACCAGCAGGCGGGGGCCCTGGAGACGCTTACCACGGACCAACGTGCGCTACATGACCGTCTGGCCCTGTTGGAAGGCAAGTTCGGCACGTGGCAGGGGAGCAGCCACGGGGGGTCATCTGCCTCCACCACCGACGATGACAAACGACAACCCGCCCTCATTATGGGGGTGGCCCGAAGACTCCCTGGCCTCAGACACCCTGCAGCAGGCACACCAGACAGCCGCCCAACTACACCTCGAAGTGGACCTTGGGGAGGCATTTGTCCCTGGAATCCGACGAGGCTACACCATCATCCCCATCAAAGCCAAGGAGGGGGAGGACGAGTCTGAGCACCGACGTAGAATCCAGCAAGCTATCCAGAAGGTCAGGAACGCGAATGTGGTGCTGGGAACGAAGCCGGATGGGACACCGCAAAAGCTGTGGATGGCACTGAGCCAAAGCCCGCAAAGGCGGGCAAAGGCGAAGCTCGCGGGAAAAGCCAAGCGCCTCGCTCTTGAACAAGGGGGCGACCCACGAAAGGTGGAAGCAGAATTTGCCACGGGCACAGTATGGTATCGGGGGACAAAAATCTCCTCTGGTACAGCCACCGCACCCACCAATGCGACAACGGCGGGGGCAGGATGGATCGACTTGGAGGCACTGGCCCGGCTCCTGAACGGCACACCTGGCAACCTGCAAAGCGCCTGGGAGCGCATCAAGCAGGGTCTTTGACTTCCACCACCAACGTCTCACCGATGCATGCCAAAAACCAGGCATGCCCTTGCAACCTGGAATGTGGGGGGACTCCAGGCCCGTCGCGTACTGCAACTGTGCGATGAGCTAAAGGGGACCTCATCCCTAAGGGATGCCCGCCTCCTACTTGTACAAGAAGTCGTCTGCGAACCAGGAGTACAATTTGCGAGTGACAAAAACTGGCAGATCATTTTTGGGAAGTTCCCTGATGAATGGAGAGGGACAGCCATCTGTTATCAGCTTTCGCTGGCTTCGCATCGCCACACACAACTGTACAGAGGGGGGATCAGCGCCGTCCTACACTTCCAGCAGGACAACTCCAATCTGGGGCTGGTGTCGGGGCACATTCCTTGGAACGCCACCATTGCTGAGGCCGAGCACTACGCCAGGGACTGGGGGGAGGCAACGGCCAGCAAGCAACCACGATGCATTTGGGGGATCGACGCCAACGAGACATTCCGACAGACTGGTGGAGGGACAAGCAGTAGCTCAGGAAGAGGGGAATCCCTACTCAACATCTTTCACGAGTTGGACCTAACACTGCCTCCACAAGACCTACATCTGCCGTCACACTTTCCGTACAACACCCAGTACCTCCCCAGAAGGCTGGACTACCTGCTGTCCAAGGGAAGTACAATTGCCGCAGGATGCACAGTGGGCGACCTCAGAGATATGGCAAGCTCGGACCACGAACCCATCATTGGATCAACCACGGCAGTAAAGGGCCGACCTACCCTTCAGACATCGTGGGGGGCAAGAACGCTCAAACCTAAACCGGTGGTGGACCAGCACCTCCAGCAACCTCCCCAGGGGCACGACCCACATCAACAAGTTGCCGCCCTGGCCATTGCCATCACGCAACCCTGCACGGGCAGAACCGCACCTTACGCCGAAAGCAAAACGCTGAAGGACATGAGATGGCGAGCGCACCGCACGCCAGCAGGAACCGACAGAAGACAGGCATGGAGGGCCATCCAGAAACTGAGGAAGCAGGAGCACAAGGAATGGGAAAGGGCCCTGGTGGACCGAGCCAGCAGACTGGACTGGAAGGCCATGAGGACACTAGACCACCTCCACAGAGCCGCACAATGGGAACACCACCTCCTGGACGACCCCGACTGGCAAACACACCTCAAAACCCACTTCCGGAACATCTTCGCCAAAGCCAATGCAGAAGACACCCGACAACAAATGGCGAAGATCCGTGCCCACATCGCCTGGCAATGCAAGCACACACCGTGGGTCCCCTTCACCGAAACGGAAATGTGGATGGCTGCCAGCAAGTGGTCCGCTCGCAAAGCCACGGGTCCGGACCAGATCTCGCACGAAGCGCTCCACATGATGATGACAACCAAGACCTGGACCGGCAAGCTCCAGTACATACTCAATGACCTCTTTTACATGGGAGCCATCCCATCCGACATCGCCGGCGGCATCACCATTCTTCTCCCCAAGACCACAACACCCGCCTCTTGGGGAGACACCAGACCGATCACACTCAGCAGCTCTCTCCTCAAGTGGACGGCACAACTCCTCCTCCAAAGAGCGGGGGGAAGACTCATCACCAGCCCCCTCCAGTGGGCAGCACCAGGGCGCCAGGCCATCGAACTCATCTGGGTCATACGCCGCATCCTACGCATGGCCGTCGACTGGGGGGAGAACACCTACCTGGTAAAACTGGACATTCGCAAAGCATTCGACTCCACCTCCCAACCTGCCCTGGGAGACTTGGTCAGCCGGAAAATTGCGGGCGAAGGGGGGCTTCCATGGGAAGCCAGGCTTTGGCTCTCCATCATCGAAGCGCGAGAACTCTGCTTCGCAGTGGGGGACACGCTGACCCCCATCCAGCAAACAAACGGAGTGCGCCAGGGGTCTCCGGACAGTCCGGAGCTCTTCGCCGCCATGGTGGGCGACTCCCTAGACCACGCCCTCTCCAACGCAGGTCCCCCGCCCCAGTTCCCCCCGTGCCCGGCCGGGGGGGGGTCATACATGGACGACACGTACCTGTGGAAGAACAACAGGGCCCACCTACAGGCCAAACTCACCCACCTGGAAGGACAGCTCAACCCCAAAGGACTTGAGATCCACCCTGGCAAAACAGCCATCATTGCCAGCCACGACACAGGCGCCACCTTCACCATTGGGGGGCAACAAGTCGCTGCACAAGGACCGGACACCGTCATCACGGGGCTCGGCTCACCCCTCACCTTCCACAACGTAGCCAGCGCCCTCGCGGCAGAACTCGGAGGCCGAGCGAGGAGGGCCTTCCACATGCGCAAGAAGGTCCTTTGTGCCAAAACACCCCTCAAAGGACGGCTCCAACTCCACGACACATACGTCCGCAGCACGGCCTTGTGGGGGTGTCCAACGTGGCCCATACACGAAACACTGTTGAAGCAAGCAAACTCCACACAACAGGCCCAAGTGCGGCAAATGATGGGACACTCCAGACGTGCGGGGGAGTCCTGGAGCGAGTGGAACACCAGAACCCTTCGGCTAGCTCGCTTAGCACTCCACTTTCATGGAATACAGCGATGGTCGACCTGGGCATTACAAAACATATGGTCCTTCACTGGACATGTCGCAAGGGGGGGGTCCATGACAACAGAGGTGGCCGCGTGGAAAAACATCGAATGGTGGCGAGTCGAGCAAAACAAAAGGGGGGGGATCAGACACGCAAAACGCTTCAGCCCAAACCTTGACCCTGAACGACAGATCGTCTCCATTGCGGGAGAACAGTGGCTCCAACAAGCCCAAGATCGAGGCAAATGGAAAGCGCTCACGGCAGTTTTTGTAGAGCGATTTGACGCTCCGTGGACATCGGGCAAGCAGGGGGCAGTCAAAAACCTGGCACCCGCACGCAGAGGGGGCAAGCCCACTGCACCCACCCCCACCCGGCCCCTGGCCCTGGCTGATGCCCCGTAGGACGAATGACCCATTCAGGGGATAGCTTTGCGGGCACCACACCGGACGCCTGGCACGAGCCGAGGGATGCACCTCACCCCCCCCCCCCCACCCACACACGATAGCTACAGCATGCTGCCCATGTCAGAGCCTTTCACGTTGCACAACAAGCTTGACGCATGTCCGCTCGGAGTCAAAGCTGAAAGCCAATTCGCGCCGACCTACCAGCCACCTCCTCAGCCCCTCGCCCTGCACACATGGCGCGCATGGGTGGGCCGCTGACGCTGGCTGCTGTCCTTGGGGGCACCATCGGCGCCCTCTTCCACACGCTGCGACTGCGCCTACCACCGGAACTACCCCATCGTCCGAGACGCCCCCGACTACCACCGCCTGG